TACACACACAAAACCAGCAACACACCAACACACCCACCCACACACGGACACACCCACACACACACACACACGGACACACACGGACACACATGGACACACACACACATGGACACACACACACACACACGGACACACACACACACACACTCACACACACACATGGACACACACACACACACACACACACATTCCCAACATTAATTCTTCCCTCAGGTCAAAATAAAACAAGAGCCCCCCTGTCCCACAGCACCCCTCAGCACCCTGCAGCTCCCTTCAGAAAAACTTCCTTGTGAATGGGGACACCACACCCAAGCAGGAGACAAAAAGCAGAGGAAGTTGTTGTCACAGTCACTTTATTACAGCGAGGCCATATCAGGAACCAGACACCAGCCTTACCTCCAGCCCCACTGAACTCCCTGTTTTGCATCTCTAGGTATGGGGACAGGTGTCCCCCTTTGCCTGGAATACCCTAAGCTCGGTCAGCAAACTCCTCCTCACTCTCCCCAGCCCAAGGTTCTGAATAGCCCAGGCAGTGCTCATTAGCCTGGCCTCTGAGCTTCCTCTGACAGTTCCTTAAGGTGCTAAGGCCTGGAGCCCTGGAAACAGAGCTAAGGAGGCAGAACTCAGAATCACAAGAGCAGGTTATCGGGCAGAAACTGGAAGGAGTGTGCAGGACACACAGGCCAAAGACATGAGGCTTAAGGCTGGGGCTGTCATGAAGGGATCTGGGCAGTGGAGAGAATCCTTTGTCTTTGGAGACTCTCTGGAACCCAGTGATCCAGGCTGGGGTACAGGGGACAATAAGATTAAAATGCTACCCATTTTTCTGGCCTGTTTGTTTCCCTTCCACCAGTGAAACGTGGCAGAAGGTGGCTGCTGAGGCGTCCCCTTCCTCTCAGCTCAAATCTGGTACTGGCCTGTCTCATCTCCCACCCAACAACCTGGAACCCCCAAACCAGGGTGCTGAACCCAAACTTTATCCCTGATAGGAGGCAAGGGAGGGACAGTTAGGAAGACCACTCCCTTATTTCTTCTTCTACCAGGGCAGGGAACTGGCCAGGGCCTCTGCAGCTCCCAGCCAATCCCCAGGTCCTGGGATTGGCTAGCTCCACCTTGGGCAGTGAGCTTGTAGGCAGGGAGTCATGGCCTGCCATATACAAACAACTTTACCAGGCCTCGTTCCCATCTGGAGCCAAGTCCAGGCCTTTGTCCCTAAATACCTTCTCTCACCCTGCCAGCTCCCCGCCCACCCTGCTTTCACTTAGTCTTCTGATGGAGTTTGCGCCGGACCAGCTGGCTGAGGAGCAAGGCAGTGAGAATGCTGCTGCCCACGGTGAGCAGAAAGAGGCCAGAGAAGTTGTGGGGCCAACGGGCATGCAGAGGCTCATAGATGGGCCTCCGGGCCTGATAGTCCAGTGTCACTGCCTCTAGCTGGGCCAATGTGCACAGCACCAAAAAGACATGGAAAACTTGGTGTCCCTGCCCAAAGATGTGGCAGCTGCCGGGGAACCAACTCTCCGGCATGACGGTGGAGAAAAACGCAGCAGCCAGAAGAAAAAAGACCACCTGGCACTTGTGATAGAGAAGAGCGGGGTCATCCTCGGCAGGGAGAGGGGACACTATGATGCGGTGCACCACGGGGCTGATGTCCAGCGCGTAGGCCAGCGCCGAGGGCACCTCCTGGCAAGTGCGGCCCAGCAGGCCTGGCTTCTGGCTGTACTTGTTGTAGCAGGACCCAGCACAGGAAAGCCAGGCCAAGAAGGCGGCCGTGGGCAGGAAGATGGCCTGCACCTGGGCATGCCAGGTGGGCTCAATGGCATAGTAGAAGTGTGCCAGGGCACTGCCAAACTGGTACACGGCTACGCCCACGTAGTCCAGGAAGAAGAAGCTGTAGTGCCAAAACTCTGACTTGGCCTGCAGAAGGTGCGCCAGGGCACTGAAGGAGAGGTAAGTAAAGGAGGCCAGGACGATGATGAAGAGGGGCAGGGCGTGCGGGTCTTCCCAGAAGTCCACACTCCCCACCAGGATGACCAGGCGCAGCAGCAGTGCCAGGGCCGCCAGCAGGTGAGTCCAGACATTCACGGCTTCGTTGTGCTGCTGGAACAGGGTGCGGAAGTAGAAACACCAGGTCTGATGCAGCGGCCGGTAGCCAGCATAGATGTAAGGCTTCCAGAAGAGAGGCGGCACCTCAGCCCGGTCCACTGTGAACACGGGCTCTGGCTGCAGAGGCTTCTGGCCCACGTGCCAAAGGCTGGACAACAGGTGGCTGAACTTCTGGGCCACTGCCATCGCCATGTCTGGGTCCTGGGCAGGAAACTAGGGGAAAGGTCAGGGCAAACAAAGTCAGAGTCCTTGTGTCTCTACCTGGGGCGCGGATGCCCTCAGACTCCCTCCCTTCCCCCATACCCTGTCCTTCGGCTGAGTTTGAGAACCAAAGAGTAATCCTAAAAAAAAGGCGAGTTCGCTTCCCTGGCACTCAGAAGAGGGCCTGACATAGCAGGTGCTTAGTTGTGGGGATCTAGCACAGCCACTGTATCGAAGCTCAATCACCGGAGTGAATAGTTGTTTGTTTGCTAGAAGTGCTTCAACCTTGAAGAATCACTGTGGAAACATAGAGATTGTTTCCCATGATTTGTAGGATTGTTTTTCTGAAGGGGGCGTGACAGCCATGAATGACTTGGGTCACAAGACACTTCTGGCACCCCTGAAGCTCTTGGGTTATTGTGTACCGGAACCGGAACTGGTACACAATAGGACTAAAGCAGCAGGGGCCTGTGGTGATGCTTTCCTCTACAGAGACATATGAATTAGAAAATGGACCCTGGGCGCCGGGTGGTGGTGGTGCACGCCTTTAACCCCAGCACTCGGGAGGCAGAGTCAGGTGGATCTCTGTGAGTTCAAGACCAGCCTGGTCTACAAGAGCTAGTTCCAGGACAACCTCCAAAGCTAAAGAGAAACCCTGTCTTAAAAAAAAAAGAAAAGAAAAGAAAAGAAAGAAGAAGAAGAAAAAAAAGAAAAGGGACCTTGGTATGAGGAAATACTTTACCTGAAAAACAACTTTGTGTTACAATCAATAAATATTCAGGGTTCAGCCCGTCAGAGGCCTGACCTGCCTGCCGGCCGGCCTCTCACACCAACCAACTCAGGCAACACGGAACACCCGGAACACCCAACACCCAGTGCATGCCTCATTCATTCATAAGGCTCCCTGCCTCGGGCACTTCCTTTCCAGTCCAATTGCCACACAGCTGCCCCAGGAGATGGGGACAGGCTGTGCTACCACCCAAATTCTCTGAGTGGCAATGACCTGATTAACAGACCCAACTGTTTCCACCCAGGACCCATCCAGAGCTGCCAGGGACTCCACTGACCACACCCTCGCACACACCGCATGATCTGCCCCGACTTCCTTCTCCGGCATTATCACCTAGCCACAGTGTGCCACACTCTGTCACAGCCACACCAGACTTCTGCAGCTATTCCCTCTACTGAGACTCCTCCCCATCTTGCGGACTAGGCAAACTGGTATTCACTCCTCAAAACCTATTTCTTCTTGGTTCCCCTGACCTCTCTACTTGAGTGCCTTCCATCAAACCCTTAAAACATCTCCAGGGCATTAACTCTGTAACTGTGAGCTCAAAGAGGCTGGGCAGTTTGTCTCCATACTTCGTGGACTTCTAGTGTGCAGCGAGCGGCTCGCACTAATTTCTAAATGAAAGAACAGCATGATGCATTCAGGAGCCAACCACAAAAGCCACTGTTCCTGAGAGAAGTCTCAGGAATTGCCCCTTGCCGGGCAGTGATGGCACAGACCTTTAATCCCAGTATTTGGGAGGCAGAGGCAGGTGGATCCCTGACCAGCCTGGTCTACAGAGTGAGTTCCAGGACAGCCTCCAAAGCTACACAGAGAAACCGCGTCTTGAAAAACAAACAAAAAAAGACTAGCATCGCCTCCTTTTCCCTCAGCCTCTCCAGTCTCCTCTCTGCTGCCCTTGGATCCTAATTCCAGATAAACAAAATTTAAACCCTCCTAGAACTCAAAACTTGACTGCCCCTGTCCTGATTCCCACCTAACCATATCAAACCCCAAACCAACTTCCTTCCTTTTTTATTCCTCTTTGTTGTCAATGTACCTGCTATTTGTCCTAGGGTATGAACTCACAGAGACTGTGGCAGCCCACACAGACAGGGCCTGCACAAGTCTAAGCCAGGTCAGAGTGAACACTGGGAGAGGAAGTGAACACAACCCCACATTCTAACCCAGAAGCTATCTCCAACTGATAACCACTCACAAAGAAAATATTCATTTTTTCCAATGGAGACTCCAGTGGAGTCTCCCTGGGTATACAAAGCACCCTTAGGGGCAGGCCACGTTGCCCGAAGTAGATAACCAAAACAAAACAAACTCAATGCCTTTTTTTTCTTAACCCTACATATTTTTTGCTTATTTATTATTTGGTTTCTGATTTTATTTTTTATGAGTTAACTGTGTGTGAATGTGTCAGCATCTATATGTGTTTCTTGTGATTTTTCTTTAGCTCTTTTCTTTTCCTGTTTGTATGTTTTATCCTATTCTGGTTTGTTTATCTTATTAATATTTTGGATGCCTGCTTGTATTCCAATGAAAGGGTGTGGTTGGGAGGGTGGGAAGGATATGGAAGGAGTTGGGGGATGGGAAACCATAATCAAAATACATTGTATGAAAAAGATACACTTTCAATAAAAAAGTATTTCCTCTATGACAAAAAAGAGAAAGAAAGGAGAAAGGAAGGAAGGAAGGAAGGAAGGAAGGAAGGAAGGAAGGAAGGAAGGAGAGAGGAAGCACACTGGATACCAGCATTCCTTTCTTTGTGTCCTGACTGTAGCTGCATTATGACTAGCTGCCTGAAGCACCTGCCACCATGCCTGGACCATGATGGGGGGTACCCTCAGACTGTGAGCCAAAATAAACCCTTCTCACTTTGGTTGCTTTTGTTAAGTACTTTGTCACAGAGCAGAGAAAATAAGTAGTATTTGAGACATGGTGACAGGGGCTATTTGCCAATCATTTAATAAATACAGCCCATTTGCCTGGCACCTTCTGCTTAACTGGAGTTTATCATTTGTGCTGGTTTTATGTCAACTTGATACAAGCTAGAGTCATCAGAGAAGAGGGAGCCTCAACTGAGAAAATACCCCTATAAGACTGGGATACCTATAGGGCATTTTCTCATTTAGTGATCAATGGGGGAGGGCCCAGCCCGGGAGGGCCCAGCCCACAGTGGGTGGTGCCATCCCTGAAATGGTGGTCTTGAATTCTGTAAGAAAGCAAGCTGAGTAAGCCATGAGGAGCAAGCCAGTAAGCAGCACCCTCCATGGCCTCTACATCAACTTGTGCCTCCAGGTTCCTGCCCCATGTGAGTTCCTGTCCTGATTTCCTTTGACCATAAACTTCGATGTATGATGTGGAAACATAATCCAAATAAACGCTTTCTGTTAGGACATACTATACATACATTTTTTATCTTGTTCAAAGAGGAACTTTGGGGCATCCAGGAACCAGGCAGCCAGCTGTTTCTGTCATTTCTCACATTTTTTGAAAGTTGCTTGCTTGTACTTCCTGCTTACTCAGTTAATATTTCCTTCTTTGGGGCTGGAGAGATAGCTCAGTGTTTAAGAGCACTGACTGTTCTTCCAGAAGATCTGGGTTCAATTCCCAGCATTCACATGGCTGCTCACAACTGTCTGTAATTACAGTTCTAGGAGACCTGACACCCATGGCAAAACACCAATGCACATAAAATAAAAATAAATTTAAAAAATATTATTTCCTTCTCAGGTCTCTGAGGGAGTTAGAGTAGTTAGTTATAGTTTTCCTTGTTAACTAATTCAGAAAAGAAGCTCACAAAGAGGTGTAAGTATAAAAGGTTGAGAAACATTAAAACATAATTTTGATAATGCAAATTAGAATTAGATACAACTTTGGACTCACTGAGATAGAATAGTTATGGAGTATTTTCTCTGAATCTGTCAAATGGAAATGGACTAGACATTGTTCATGTATTTACTGTCTGTATATATTGTATATAGTTATTGTACTTATTATATATAGTTTTTCTTATATTAGTTATAACCTTTTTATTTTAGACAAAAAAGGGGGAAATATAGTGATTTTGTTTGTGATCTAACAAATAAAGCTTGGATGAAGATCAGAGTATGGAGCTAGCCACACTAGTTAGCCATAGACACCAGGCATTGGTAGCATACACCTTTAATCCCAGCACTTGGGAGGCAGGGGCAAGTGCATCTCTATGAATTCAAGGCCACCTTGGACTACCCGAGATTGATCCAGTCTAAAAAGAAACAGAGCCAGGTGGTGGTGACTCACACCTTTAATCCCAACACTAGGGAGGTAGAGACAGGTATGATCTGGCTGGGCAGAGAGAAGAATATAAGGTAGGAGGAGACAGGAGCTCAGGGCACTCAGTCTGAGGATCACCCCTTTGGTCTGAGGATTCAGTAGAGGTAAGAGGTCTCTCTTGTGGCTGGCTCCTTCTCTGACCTTTCAGCATTTACCCTGATATCTGACTCTGGGTTGTTATTATTAAGACTAATTAGAACTCATGCAACACCTTTCCTCCCCAAGTTGCTTGGGCCATGGTGTTCATCATAGCAATGGTAACACTAAGACATCATCACTGATTAACTCAAGCATCTCTTGGTATCTGCTGGATAACTCCCTCAACAAGCTTTCTGGACTCGGCATGCAGGTGTCCTGTCCATGGTGACAAGGCCACCTTTGTCCCAGGCACTGTATGTGCTAGTGCTTGTGTTCTCACAGCCTGCCTGTCACTAACTCCCCCCAACACCCAAAGGATTCATGCACAATTCAAGATCTTGAATAGGTGGCATCAGGACCTGCCCCTAGCCTGCTCTCCCTCCCTAAACTCCCACTCTCTTAAGTTTTTTCAAACGTTCCATCGTCAGGAGGCAGAGGCAGGTGGATCTCTGTGAGTTCGAGGCCAGCGTGGTTTATAGCGAGAGTTCCAGACAGCCAGGGCTACATAGAGAAGCCCTTTTTTGGGGGGGGGGGGGAGGAGTTCAGTCATGTACTACACCTGGGGACTCCTTAGCCACGGGAGCACGGTACTCTTCGGCTTCCTTCATCCCAGAAAGCCTGACTCAGGGCAGACTCAGGGAGCCGGTCCCAGATGGGCTATTAACAAGGACTATTAATAATTTCCACCCAGAGCTTGTTCCTCCTCCCAAAAGACTGCACTCCAGCCATAACAATTTGGCCTCCGTTCTGTATGCAGGGGCAGACTAGGCCTCAGAACACATCTTGTGTAGCTCACAAGGAAACTAGACCTTCCTAGACATACACAGCCAGCACAGCAAGGCGTCCATTCTGCCATGGAAACAGTGAAGCTGGAGGGAGCCCATGTACACCTAGTTACTGGGTCCCTGTGATCTGTTAAGTCCACTCCTAGCCTCCATCTCCCACTCCTGGGACTCCCCAAGGCATGAGAGCACATCGGAGGCACTGAGAAGTTCTATGGTAAAGTGTACTTAGCTTTGTTGAACCTACATGTGCCAAGTTTGCGTGACGTACGCCTCCTTTCCCAGTCATGAGTACATGAGACAGCCAGTTGAAACCAAACAGCTGTTCCCTCTACGCTTGTTGCAATCAATCCTGTTATTTTTTTTTTCTTTCTGTTTTTTGAGGCAGGGTTTCACTGTGTAGCCCTGGCTGTCCTGGAGCTCACTCTGAAATCAGGCTGGCCTCAAACTCAGAGATCTTGCCTGCCTCTCAAGTGCCACCCAGAATAATCAATGTTTGTAACTTCCCTGGGAAGTCCTACCTAATACCACCCATTTTGTTGCTCCGACGGTGCAATCTAAGAGATGAAGAGATTCTTATTCAAGGGAAGAGGGGGAGGAAGATGCATGCCTGTAGATACCCCGTGCTCTATGTCTGTCTGTAGGTACCCAGTGCTCTATGTCTGTAGGTACCCAGTGCTCTATGTCTGTAGGCTGTAGGTACCCAGTGCTCTATTGTAGGTACCCAGTGCTCTATGTAGGTACCCATTGCTCTGCCTGTAGGTACCCAGTGCTCTGCCTGCAAACCTGACATTTATCAACTTTTCTGCAGCTGGCCTGCCTCCTATGACATCGTCCTGCATCTCCAGAACAACGCTGCTAAATACTGATTTGAAGCAGGCAGTCAGGGCTTATGTAAGGCATTTCCTTAGGCTTCTAGTCTCCCTCAGTCCTATCCTCTTGATCTGCACCAGGGAAGCCCTAGCTCACAACCACTCCTCCAGAGGGGGACAATACCAGCCAGCACACAATCCCATGCATCTAGACATGGTGGGCCCTAAACACAGAACCCAGAGGCAACATTCTAGGGTATAGAGGCCCCGAGGCTCAATTTCTGTTAGAACCCTGGCAGAGGCACTACTCCATAGAAATAGCTCTAGCTTCAGGATTAGACCCTAACCTCTGGATCTACAAATCCATAGGAAAGGAGGGAGCAAGGGCAGAGGTCAAGTCTGAGCCAGATGGAAAGGGGGTGATCCAGAGAGATACTAGGGCATCCAGAGTGATCTGTCCTATCAGGCAGCCAGGCCTTGCCCATCCTGGACAGCCAGCCCAGCAAAATGCCACAGCACCCCATCCCCACTAAGCCTCTCAGATTGCAATGGATACCTGGGGGCGTTTCTCTGGAGCCTGGGGCCAATGACCTCTGCTGTGGAACTATAGAAAGTCACCAGATGCCAAGTGCTAAGTGGCACTTGCACAGGTGAGAGACACCAGGGTGGGTTTCCAAAGGCCTGGAAATGTTTTGTGTGATGTCACAGTAGTCTTTCTTCCCTTTCTCTCTGACCCCCACACTAGTAAAAACCAGGCTCAGCCACAAACAACACCTCTGTGGCAGAAGTATAGTGCTGTCTGGAAAGCTGTGACTTACCCAAAATCATACAAGAAAGGGAGAGCCAAGCCAGGTGGTACCAGGCTGGGGCCTGAGAGATGGATGTCAGGTGCACTTGGAGGGTTCCTATCCTGTATTCAGAGGGAATCAGAGAGGAAGTTAAGAATAAAAAGGGGGCTGGGCAGTGGTGGCACACATCTTTTATCCCAGCACTGGGGAGGCAAAGGCAGGTGATCTCTGTGAGTTCGAGACCAGCCTGGTTTACAGAGCAAGTGCCAAGACAGGCTCCAAAGTTACACAGAGAAACCCTGTCCAAAAAACAAAACAAAACAAAACAAAGAATAAAAAGGGTAAGTAAGCCCTTAAGGGTGATGCACACCTTTGATCCCAGCACTCAGAAGGCAGAGGCAGGCAGATTTCTGAGTTCCAGGCCAGCCTGGTCTACAGAGTGAGTTCAGGACAGCCAGGGCTACAGAGAAACCCTGTCCTGGGAGGAAAAGGGGGTGGTGGTTAGTGGCCACTTTCTTAGAAAGGCTTGTTGGAAGATGGGCTTCAGTGACAATCAAATGTGTCACTAATCCCATAAAACACAAGCTCCATGATCTTGGGCCACTGACTGACTCTGGTTCTTAGCTCCCTTCTGGGAAAGACAAAATTACACACCTTGTAGAATGCTACAAAGATTCAAAGGACTCGAACTCAGTTTGAACTCCATTGAGGGACTCAATAAATCACAGCTGCCATTTTTATGACTACTAGTAGAGTACTTAGAGATTCTCCAGCCTGAGGTTAGCTTGATGGACTCTAAAAACTCTGTCCTTGGAATGGGCATGGGCGTGTGGCCCAGTGGGTGCAGGGCCCAAGGTCCCAGCACAACAAAAACAAAACTTTCCATCTGAACCAATGGATTTGGAGGGGGGCAAGAGGAGTGAGGGGGGAAACACAGGGACAGACAGACAGACAGACAGACAGAAAGAAAGTTAACTGTATCCTAGCCTAGTGTGATGGCTCCCACCTATAATTTCAGCACTTGGGAGGTGGAGGCAGGAGGATCAGAAGTTGAAAGGTCATCCTTGGCTATTTAGAGCAAGAACAAGGTCAGCCCGGGCTGCATAAGACCCTCTTGGGGAAGGGGGTGATTAGTTGTCTCCTGAAATATTTACCTGATCCTTAGGGGCATATCTAAGGACCAGGGAAACTGGAGTTTGGACTCCTGAGGATATGGAACTATTTAATAATTGAATTGTTCTCAGCACAGAACATTGAGGGTGACACCCTTCTGGGTTCCTGGATTCCTGGAAATTGGCACTTGCCCACAGACCCAGGGAAGGTGGCCAGGAAGTAACGTCCCCAGGGAAGGAGTCTTAACCCCACCATCCTGCATGGAGCTAGAGGACACCAGAGGGTAAACTGAAAGCATACGACCTTGGGCTGAAGGGATGCCTTAGGAGCTAAGAGTGTGTGCTGCTTTCCCAGAGGCTCTGAGTTCAGTTCCCAGTTCCCACAGGCTCACAACTGCCTGTGACTCCATCTCCAGGGGATCTGATGCCCTCTAAACTCTATTGGAATCTGCACTCACGTGTGCACAAACTACATGCAGAGATTCATGTAATTGTAAAGAAATCCTGTCTGGAGAGATGGCTCAGAGGTTAAGAGCACTCACTGACTGCTCTTCCAGAGGTCCTGAGATCAATTCCTAGGAACCACATGGTAGCTCAAAACCATCTGTAATGAGATCTGGTGCCCTCTTCTGGTGTACAGACATACATGCAGCCAGAACACTGTATACATAATAAACAAATCTAAAAAAAAAAAAAAAAAAAAAAAAAAACATCTATGCCATGGCCTGGCAGAGCATAAGTTGCCAAGAGGAAGTGGGAATTCTGGTCCTCCCACTCACCTCCTCCCAGCCTACTAACTCATGCTCCCCTTTTCCTAAGCCCCAGGTCCCCCTCTTCACCTTCTCTTCCATGGCTTCCAACCCTAATTCCTCCTGGAGTTCTCATACCTTTTGGTTGGTACCTCCTGGCTGGCTGCAGGTCATCAGGAGAAAGTGGGCTTTGGAGAAAGTGAGCCTTGACCCCCACCCCCACCCCCATGCTCAGGTTTCACCCAGTGCTTTCTAACCCACAGGCCATCCCCAAAGAGCAGGGAACACAGTGAATGACGGGTTTCCTGTTCTGCTGTTTTACCCACCCAGCTGCTTATGGAGGGAAGACAGCCAAAAGGCCACCACACTGCCTGAAGGGTGGGTGACTACTGCTAAATTCTGGGGGAGCCAACGTCTGGGTTTTATGTGGGCATGGAATCTTAGGTCCGGAACTTACCAGCTTGGTAACCTTGTGAGAGTTCCTTAACCTCTCTGAGCTGATTTCCTCAGAGGCTAAAAATGCTACCACTGGGCTCTTGTAAAAAATGTCACTGCTCGATGCTCAATATTGGCCCTGGCATTGGCTCTGTTATTTTCGTTGGGATCTCCTTGCTCAGCCACATAAGCCCTGGGTGGCTTGGACAAGCCCCTTCCACTTTGGGTCCTTTTTTTAAAAAAACAAAAACAAAAAAACAAAAAAACAAAAACAAAACATTAATAATTCACCTACTTCAAAGTGTCCTGAGGCCCTGTGACAGTTCCTGGGAGTTACTTTAGGCCTACTATGCTCCGGAAACTAGAGCTTTGTCAATGATTAGTGCTGGCACATTAGTGTGGTTATCCCCCAGCCCTCAGTGCTTCAGGCCTCACTAAGGAACCAGGGTCAGCAGGCTCGGTGACCCCTGCCCTTTACCTCCTTGGCACCCACAGCATTCCCTGTTGCTTTGTGGACCTGGACTGCTCAGCACATTCCAAGTCTGTTTTATCTTGCCATGGAGAACAACGTTTGACCTCATTAGATAAAGAGAATAAAGCCATGATTCAGAAATGACAGTGTACAAATGTCATCTTTGTCCCTTCCTCCTTTCTTCCCTTGATTTCTTCCTTTTGTCTTTTTTGTGTGAGTGTGTACATGTGTATGCCCACCCATGTGTATGCACGAATGCCCACGTGTGGGCCTGTGCGGAGGCCTGTGAGCTGTCTTCCACCTTGTTTTGAAGCAGGGTCTCTCTCTGAACCTGGAGCTCTTGGGTTGGGCTAGACTGACCAGTGAGTACCCTAAGCCCTCGCCTCCACCAGCCCTGGTATTAATAGGCTTTTCATGTTGAGTGCTGGAGATCCAACTCAGGTCCTCATGCTTACCCAGCAAGCATTTTACTACTCAGTCCTCTGTGTCCTTTTTAGACAAGATCTCACCTTATTGCTCAGACTGGCCTTCAAATCATGACTCCCCTGCTTCTGCCTTCTGAGTGCTGAGATTACAGGCGTGTACCACCACGAGTACCTAATTTTTTATATTTCTATGAACCTGTTAAATAACCCATTTGGTCATGGTGGCCCATGCTTTTAATTGCAGTACTAGGAACATAGAGGCAGATGGATCTCTGAAAGCAGAGGCCAGCCTGATCTACAGAGCTAATTCCAGCATGGCCAGGGCTACACAGAGGAACCCTGTCTCAAAAATCAAAACAAAAAATAAATAAGTAAATAAATAAATAACCCTGGCAATTGGGAGGCTGAAGCAGGAGTACTGAGAGTTCCAAGCCAACATGGCCTACATGCTAACACCCTGCCTCAAAAATAATCTAACACCTACCTGGGGGCAGAAGGGGAAATCACTTGAACCCAGGAGTTCAAGGTCCATGTGGGAGAAACAGCAAGACTCCTATCTACAAAAGATAAAAGCTAGCAATAAGTCTAGCTAGAGTTAATATATACTGTAGGAGGCAAAGCCTCTGAGGGGAAGACAAGCCATGGAGGACCCCAGATGCTTGTCGTTAGGTGTTCTATTAGGTAGCTACAGTAGCTAATTTCCCACATGGTTCTGCAAAGCTTCAAACCCCAGATCCATCTGGTGATCCAGGCCCAGAGGCAAGGTAACACCAATGTTTGTCTAACTCCAGAAGAGGAGCTGCAGGCAACTTCTGGGCACCCAGTGGGTGAATGTAGATTGGACAAGCTCTGGCAGGTCTTCAGATCTCTCAGCAACCAGGTCACCTCCCTCTTTGCTAACAAATTCTCCAATTCAGCTCAACCAGTTTACAGAAAAGCCCCCTCCAGGTCTTCCAGGGCGGAACAGAAACCGTCTGTTTGCAATTGTGCTGTGGGCCTCCATTTGTACTTAGAAATGTGACCAGAATGGAATGAGTAATTTTAAAGGAAATTCTTCCCGGGAGCTCAGACACCCCACAGCTCCAAGGAGACTACCCTGAAAGGGGAAACAGCCCAGAGAGGGTGGGCCAGCTAGCTGCAAGTCACCCAGTACAGGACACAGGGCAGGGACAGGAACTGTACCACTACTAACCAGCAAGGGTTAACTTGTACAGGGATGGAGGCTGGAAGGGGTACCCTTTCTCAAGGTGGTGAAGGGGACACCTGAGGCACATAGTCCTCCTGACAGGAGCTTCATCGTGGTGCCCCCAGATAGATGTCCAACAAGTACAGGCCACCCTGAGAATCCACCAAGCCTCCCAGCACCTGGCCTGAGGCAGCCTTGGAGTCTGCAGGTGTCGCTAGGGGAAAATCTCCCAGGTTAGTGCTGTGGGTGGTGGAGTCTTGCCCTTTCCCTCCCTAAGGCGATCTGGCTTTCCTGACACTAAGGAAAGGGTTCAATATTCTGGCCTGGTGGCCCTCCCACCTCCCTAGAGCTTTCCTCAGGATTCTCCACAGGATCTACACCACACACACACACCCCACACACACCCACATACCCCGACTCCTGTCCCTTCTCTTGCCCCATTGTCTCCTCGCTGCCAGGGTGCATGCAGCACACAGCCTGTGAGGCTGTTCCTTGGGTGTGATCCTCCAGGCCTGCTCCTCTGCCTACCTTCTGCAGACTGTATTGAAGTATTCCCTCCATCCCACCGGCTAGCTCACAGGCCATGCTCCGGTCTTGGTTCTCCTGCCCTCCTTGACACGCTGCCTTTGGTCCCCCCCATAATCCTGCTCTCCGCCCCCTCCCCACTGATCCTCTCACACACACCCCCGGCGTGACCTCGGACTCTGCTTCTTCCTGTCCCCTCCTCGCTCCTGATTCCCCTGGTGGCCTCTCCCGACCCCTGCCGGGAGGTGCTCCCCTGCATAACTGTCAGGGTCCAGCTTTTGCCGGCCTCGCCCCCTCCTCCGCCACCTGCCCACTTCCGCCACTGGACACTGCGCACGTGCAAAGCTAGGAGCACACCCCCAGCCCCCGCGCACGCATTAGGACCTCTCTACGCCCAGCCCGGCCCCGGGATCTCCAGGCGCAGCCTCACCTGTGGCCAGAGCAGAGCAGAGAGCTGTCTGCTGCGTCCCCGCGTTGGAGTAGCTGATAAAGGGGTGGCGGCCACGCCCCAAGCGCGGAGGGCGGCGCTGGGCACCAGGGACTCGGCCGCCTCCGCCAGCCTGCAGCATCCCGCCTAGCGTTATGCAAGCTCGGGCTGCAGGAGGAGTCACTCCCGGTCGCATCCCGGGACTTCCTGTGGTCACAGTACAGTCTGAATGAGGATACCAGAGATCCTAGGCTCGGCAATGGGTCTGCAAACTCCTGCTGAGTTTGCCCACTTCCTCAAAGTGCAGACTTCAATCCAGTGATAGTTGCAAGAGAGTGGAATGAGTGTCCCAGCAAGAGCTCTGAGCTCAACACACTTCACTCACTCACTCTCTCACTGGACTTACTGTAATCCAGACCTACCGGGTGAGCTGCTCCCCAAGCTGGGCTCTCTGGCTTGTCAAGGTCTCATCCCATGACCTCGGACAATTCCCCTGTCCTGGTATGTCTAGATCTCTTTTGTCAAAACAACCACTCCCTATTGTCACATCTCTGTCCTTCCTTTAGTAAATAACCTTACCTGTGACGTGCAGAGACCCATACCTAACAAAAAAGGAGACCCAGACTGAGTCTTGAATGCATATGGCCTGACTGATGGAGGCTAGGGCTCTGCTCTTAGTGAGTTCTTGAGTCTGTGACCCTGGCACATTAACAGGATTGGAGCCGGGTGCTACCCCAGTTTACCATGTGACCTTGGACAAACCTCCTTGCTCTCTGGGCCTCAGTTAGGGAGAGGATAGTACCACCTAGCAAGGCTGTTAGGATTAGGTCAAAAGGTGGGCTTGGAGGTCTTTGAAAACTGCAAAATGTGTATTTCACTCTGTACTTTGATAAAGCATATAGTCTTAATGGAATAGTGTGAGACTGGCCGCTCCTTTAAGTTCAGACAAACTCCCAAATTCACTAAATCCATGGGGCAAGGTGCCAGGCCTGTCATCCCAGTGACTCTAGAGGCTGAGGCAGGAGGATTGTTTGAGCCCAGGAGTTCAAGGCAACAGGGCTGTGGCACAGGGCTGGTATGAAGGCAACCCTGTCTCAATAGGATGAATAAAAACTAAAGACTTACCAGGCATTGTGTTGCAAGCCTTTAGTCCCAGTACCTGAGAGGCAGAGATAGCAGAGTTTGATGCCAGCCTGGTCTACAGAGTGTGTTCCAGGACAGCCAGGGCTACACAGAGAAAACACTCAGGACAGCCAGGGCTACACAGAGAAAACACTCAGGACAGCCAGGGCGGCACAGAGAAAACACTGAAGACCTGGGAGATGGCTTGGATTCCGCTTCCATTTTTTGGAAGGAAGGCTAAGCTCGACTTGCTTTCATTCTTTGTTATGTTTTGTTTTGGATTTTGTTGTTGGGCTTTTTGTTGTTCATTTGCATGTTTTTTAAAATTTGAATCAGTGTTTTGCCTGCATGTATGTTTTGTGTGAGGGTGTCAGATTTTGGAGTTTCAGACAGTTGTTAGCTGCCCTGTGGGTGCTGGGAATTGAACCTGGGTCCTCTGGAAGATCAATCAGTGCTCTTTACCTCTGAGCCATCTCTCCAGTTCCCCATTTGTATGTTTTTAAAGACAGAGTCTCATGCAGCTTCTGTCTGGAACTCACTATGTAGCAAAGGCTGGCCTTAAACTCCTGATCCCCCTGGCTCCATCTCTCAAGTGCTGGGCCTACAGGCATACACCACATCCCCCACAGCTTACGCTTAAAGTACTTGGCACTCAGTCGGCAAGCATCAGGCCAAACAGTTGCTATGAGGACCTCTCTTGATCCAAACAATCCTATGAAACTGTGTTTAACCCACTTTGCATATGGGGGAGTGAGCTCAGAGGGGTGGCAAAGGCCTTTTTGATGATCTTGTCTAAACTTTGAGCATTCCTTTGAGGTGAATGCCACTATTTTATGGATATAAAAGTTGAGGCCTCTGGCCGGGAAAAATGTGTTCCAGCTCAGGCAGCTGTAGATGTGTCTGGCCCAGACTCTGGAAAATGGCCCAGGAGGTTTTCTTGCAAGAGAGAAATCTTTTAGCCATGACACTCCACTACGGATATCTGAGAGCCCAGTGATTCAGTAAGGCCAGTTGTCAGCCATGGACCCTCGTTGCCTGTCAGCCCCATGAGAGTCCCCTACCTATTTTGTTGATCTGTGGCATGTTGTGTCACCATATTTGTCAGTGGCTGAGGAAACAGGTTCCAGTGTGCACCCTCCCAAGGCCACCCAGTCGCCTATCACTGGGCCTAGACCCAAGCCAGCTTTTAACTGTGGCACGGGGCTGGTATGAAGGAGTAACCCTGGGAGCTTCCTTCATGTATCCTGCTACGCAGCAGCTCCTATCCCCAGCCCAGGCAACAGGAAAACAGAACTGGGGACACCACCTCCCACAGCTCAGTGTAGGCCACTGAGTGAGACAAGGACTCAATGTTCCAGAAGCACAGACAGACCCCCTGCCCCCAGAATCCATTGTGCTCAGGACCGTTTGGTATCATCCAATTGTCTCAGATCCTAGGAACAAGGTCTCCAATGAGACTGGATCCTGGACCAGCCTCCCTCAAGCCTCTGACAGAGGTCAACAAGCCTCAGGAGCCAGGCTCGAACCGGAAATTATCAGGAAACGTCTTCAAGGTGCTCATGGTAAGAGAAAGGATAAACAGGTGGCACTGTGCCGTCCCCAACAAGGTCACACATCCGTGTGTGGAGACAGACTGGGTGTGTGTGCTTCCAGAGCCACTGGGTAGTGCCAGCTGCAGGAACATCACCCACGTACCATGAGCCTGGGCTGGGCACCTTGGGATGGTTAGGAAGGGGAGTGGTCCCGGGCAACCTGCTGGTAGACACTCCCCTTCTTCAGGTGTCTGTCCTACAGTGATTGTCTCCAGTGTGGCAGACACAGAGTGCCAGCTTTCACTGCTCCTTCAGCCTCAGCAGTAGCACCACGCTCACTGACTCAGCCACCTCTACTTTCCTGCCTTGGGGACTGTTGGTTAGGGCAGACAGAAGACACCCAGGGGACATAGTGCTGTCTGGGAGCTTTTGTACAGGCCCTGGCTTCCTGTCTAAATAGAGCTGTGGGGTGAGAGCAAGACGGGGTTTCTGGGGGACTGAAGGGAGAGACAAGACAGGACTCTGGAGAGAGTAGGATAGGATGGGATAGGGGCTTCAACAAACCAGGTGTCTCCCATGACAACATGGCTTGGCATCATGCCTGAGCAAACCACTTACCCGGTCTGCAAGCAAGATGCCCCAGGATACAGGCTCTGTCACCTAAGCAGCGATCTGGATGGACTGGACTCCTCCACCTGCTTGGGTTCTGGAGGAGGTGGGAGCGTGGTTGGAAGGAGCTGTAAAGGTACAAAGGCCCAGGAGACTCCATTTCCCACTCCAGGTTCAAAGATGCAACCCTTGCCCAGCCCTGTGACCTTTGCACTTCTCATGATGTCCCTTGGGGTGTGTGGGGGCCACTTGAGACGCCTCAGATAGGACTGACTGCTGAATATATGGAACCTGTGCAAAACCGAAGTGCCAACTTTAAGATTTCAAGATGGCAATGTACAATCCCTCAGTAAACCTGGGGACTGTCAGCGCCCAGGCCTCTGCTGGTCACACGGTCCCAGAGAGTGCCATGCCTGTCTGGCCTTCACTCACACCTCTATTTAAATGTTACCTAATCATAGAGGGCCTGCCCACCTCTGAGTCCATCAGGGCCCTCCATGCCTGGGTCGGAAGGACTGATTCTCTCCACAGGGAGTATCAGATCCCAGAGGTCATGGGTGGCACCTGGTCACTGTTGTATCTCAGAACATGCCAGACACCCAGAAAGTACTCTGGAGAGATGCATGCAAAGGAGGGGAGAGGAAGAAATGAAGGAAGAAGGGGACCCTCAGGCCTTGAACAGATCTAAGCTTGGGAAAGCAGATAATTGATTACAACTCAGTTGCCCAAAGGAGACTATTTAGTGATTTAAAGTCATTGGACTGGGCCTGGAGACATGGACCAGCAGTTAAGAGCGCTGCTGCTTTTTTAGAGGACCCAACACCCACAGAGCGCTGTCAACCGTTAACTCCAGTCCCAGGGGGGAATCTTCTGAACTTTTTGGGTACTGCATGCAAGTGATTTGAAGACAGATACAAAACACTTGTACACATAAAACAAATTTTAGTTCCAGGAGTCAGGGCTATATAGTCAGACCTTGTCTCAGAAATAAAATTAGTAGTTTTTTTTTTTTTTAAATAAAGTGATTAGGAGCATTTTTCTTAAAAATCGAGTATTGCCGGGCGTTGGTGGTGCATGCCTTTAATCCCAGCACTTGGGAGGCAGAGGCAGGTGAATGTCTGTGAGTTCGAGGCCAGCCTGATTTACAGAGCTAGTGCCAGGACAGGCTCCAAAGCTACACAGAGAAACCCTGTCTCCAAAAACCAAAAAAAAAAAAAAAAAAAAAAGAACGAAAGAAAAAAGCAATCTGAGTATTGCTGGGCAGCGGTGGCACCTATAATCCCAGCACTTTGGGAGGCGAGGCAGGCAGATCTCTGCGAGCTGGAGGCCCCCCTGGGCTACAGAGCGAGTTCCAGGACAGGCTGCAAAGCTACACAGAGAAACCCTGCCTTGAAAAAACAAAAACAGAACAAAAATCTGAGTGTCAAGTTACAGGAATTGTGGATGATTTTGGTCACGGAACCAGAACTAATCCTCTAGTATCCCAATGGGCACTTGAGGCTGAAGGTACAGGAAGCCATTTTCTCTGGAACTAGGGGTCCTACGTTGCCAGGTGTGCTGGCCCTTCATCCCTTATTTATAAATGGTTAAAATCCTTTTAGTGTTTGGAGTTCTCTGTCCCTCTCGCTGAGTGTCCACAACCACACTTACTCCCCTCCTACACGTCCTCTCTTACCCCGCCCCTTTGGCTTCCTGTCTCGGTTCCCACATCTCACAGTCCTGCACTGGCTGACCTTTCACCTACATCGTTTTTGCTTAAGCCAGGATGTCTGTGGGGCAAAGTCCTAGGAGGAGAAGTGCTGAGTTAAAGGGAAATGATTTGGCTCCATTGGCACAAAATTTTTTTTTCCCTTTAGCTTGCAGCTTGCTGTGGCTCTCATGAACGGGGCTCAGTCTGCATC